CGCTTCCCTCCGGATTCCTCGGCCCTCCCGGAGCTCAGGCCGCCAGGGGGCGCGCGCGCTCTGGGAAGAGCGGGAATCCGCGCCCGCGCTCCTCCCCCGCGTCCCGAGCGGACCCGGAAGGGGACTCGTTCGGAGTCCGCTGGACGGTCGCAAGCTCCAGCGCCTGTCCCACCGCGGCTGCTCCCCATCTGGGGCGCTGCGAGGCTTCTCCACCGTGGCCGCGAGCCTGTTGCAACTCAGGGGGGCGCAGGAGGTTCTTCAACCGGTTGAGCTGTTCAAGAAAACCAAATTTGGGTGAAGGGAGCTACTCGCCTTTCTAAAAGGTCTTCTTGCACAAGATTTAAAAAAAAATAAAAACAGTACAGTAATACGGATATGATACTAATATATAGAAAGACTGAGAACTTAGGATACATATGGGGGGGAGGATGTACCCGTATTGTGGAACTCCTGTCCAAACAAGGCGTACAAGGGAGGCCAGGCTGGCTCAGGCGACTCTTGATCTCAGGGTCGTGAGTTCAAGCCCCATGTTGGGAGTGGAACCTACTTATAATTTAAAGAAAAAAAAAGTTAAAAAAAAAAGCATATATGGAGAGAAGACGGCTTGAGTCCTTTATTTCCCTTCTGTGAACAATTCATGGCTTTATCATATTCATCCCATAAAGCTAACAAGATGGGCCCTTAATGAAAGTAATGAAGATTTCAATCAGTTTCACTTCTTTCTGATATTATCTATAAGAGTCCTACAATAGTCAAGAAAACTAATCTTAAATGGAAATCTATATATATAAAGAGCAGTATTCTTGCTGTGGTTATCCACAGCCACTCAGGGGAAAAAAAATAGGAGAAGGCAGCAAGTAGAAATAAAGAACTTCAACTACACCGAGCGCCTGGCTGGCTCAGTTGGTAGAGCGTGTGACTCTTGATCTCCCGGTGGTGAGTTCAAGCCTCACATTGGACCATTGGGCCTAGAGTTTACTTAGGAAAAAAAAAAAATCTTAAGATCTAAGGGGCATTGTTTGCACCTTGTTTTAGAAAGGGGCTGCTATTTACTAGTTTAATGACCTCGGGGAGATCTCCACCACTAATGGGGGAATCAAATAAGGTAAAAGTAAGGGAATGCAATTTACAGCACACACGTAGGATTAATCCCCAATAATGACAAGAACTACAGCTGCATCATGAACCATCTCTTGTAAACGGCGGAAGAATCCTTACAGAGAACCTGTGAACAGGGATGATTCCTGAAATCACACATGAAGTTTTTCGAATTCATTGTCTCACTCACTTGGTCAAGTAGCCCCCAGTCCGTTGTCTCTTGATTTCCACTGCCTAGGCACCTGCATACAATCTCAAGTGGCAAAGCCCTAACATTCCAGACACGAAGACATCTCACTGCCGTGCATAGTTAACTTTTCATCTACCAGGAAAAACATCCCCAAACCCTTCTTGTTGTAATGAGGAGACTCAGATTAGTTGAGGAGGTAGTTAGGGACATCGATCAGGACGCTTTCAACCCCAAAGGGGCAGAGAGGCGGGTATTCTAATTAGATGGCATTGAAAGTTTCTCTAGTTTGAAGTAACTTCCCTTCCAATATCTCAACGTCCATTCTGTACTCTTCTGGGAGACACCCCAAAAAGTTGCTGTGGATTTAATTCTTTAAGGCTGATTTCATCCCTTGAAGTAATTTCAAGCATTTGACTCCAGTGCGTACATTTTCCCCTTACACTGAAACCACAGCAATAGGTTTCGTGTTACGTTAGTTTTGTGGAAGATACGGGACACATTCATACCTAAATAATGTAGATTAACTTGTTCACATTTTAAATTAGCAATTGTTTTCTTGAATAACATTGAGACCACACAAACGTCTAACCTCTATCATTCTTTTTTTATATGCGGAAATTTATTTTTTAAGATGCTTTGTTGGCAAATTGGCTAACATACACTGCATACGGGGGTAGGTTTTCTCGAAGAGTACGAAACATGATGTAAACAACACAAAACCTGTCACACTCCAAACCAAGAAAGGAGAATCTCCCAGTTCCGGAGATTATACCAGCATTTACCGTGACATTGTTCTCCGAAGAATCGGTCTTCGAAGAATCAGTTTAGAGAGGGTGAGGGCCAGCACATAGATGACCTTTGGGCTCCTAGGTCTCTAGCACCCAAACATTACGTTTGTTTCAACAACAGTTTTTCCATTTCGGAATTTGTCATTAACCTCAGGGGATATTGCTACTATGATGATAAAGTTAAATAACCAGTTGGTTCTTTCTTTCTTTCTTTCTTTCTTTCTTTCTTTCTTTCTTTCTTTCTTTCTTTTCCCCAGTAGGATCCTGGCGATTCTGTGCTACAGGTCTGTCTAATCCACAGCCCTGTGTTCAGGGAATGAAGAATTCCCTGATATTAAATGATAACCAGTCTCTCCACACGTACATATTTACATAAAAAAATAATATTCAGGTCATGTGTTGGGTTTTTGTGCCCAATGTTGTTTTGGTAAAGTAGGAGCCCAGGCATTTCGTGCATTTTAATATTTGTGTTTTGATTTCTAGGAAAGGAATTCTTTTCTAATTGTTTATGTGTTATCAGAACTTTCAGGATTGACAGTTTGCTATCATAACGCATTGTAGCTGTAGTATGACAATGACAGGTTTTGTGCAAGTGATAGTTGAGAAATTTCTCTCCAACCTCAGGAAAGCAAACAATGAAAACCAATGCAGGAGCTAGTCACTAGTACAAACATACAGTGGCCTGTTGGGTGGCACTTAAAGAATTTTAATTTATTGGCGATTAGTGGAATAAGTGACAAAGATTAAGTACCTAAACCACACATTAGTTGTTAAAAATGACCCGGGCAGCCTCTGTCTTTTATTCCTGGAAGACACTTCGGGCATTGTTCTTTCGCTCTGTGTATCTAACGTATCAGAAACAAAAACCACACCAAAAACGCCACAGGATTACATTCTATTTTCAGTTCCCCCACTCCTGCCTTCTAGGTAGAATGATGTGAGTTGCTAGAAACAAATAGAAGACAGACATAATTAAGCAAGACTTAGAGACCATTGGCCAATAAACCGTAATATAGAAGCGTGTGGGAAGAATCAAAAGAAAGGTTGTGTGCATGTCTGGAATCCACATCCGTAAAATAAAAACATTTTTTCCCCCTGAAACCACTTTATTCATTTATTTATTTGCTCCTATTTTGGGGTTTTCCTCAAACCACTTTAATGAAAAAAATTCAAATTTCAGAAATCCAAATTCCTTTGATTCTTTTCATTTGTTCCTGTTACAATTCTCATCGTTTCTGCAGATCTGACATAGCCACCTTAGTACTTGGACATCTGCTAGCGACGCATTGTTACACATATTAGATTCAGAATGACATTCTTTAAAAAAAAAAAGTTTATTTATTGTTGAGAGAGAGAGAAAGGAGAGAGAGAGAAAGAGAGAATCCCAACCAGGCTCCTCCCTGTCAGTGCAGAGCCGGAAGCGGGGCTCGAACCCACTAACCGGAAGATCATGAGCTGAGCCGAAACAGTCAGATGTTTCACTGGACTGAGCCACCCAGGAGGCCCCAGAATAACATTCTTGATTATTATTTTTTTGAGAGGAGGGGATGCAGGTGAGCAAGGGGCAGAGAGAGAAAGAGAGAGGGAGAGAGAAGAGGGCCTTACCCCAGGCTGGACATAACCTGAGAAGTCAAGTCAGAAGTCAGATGCTTAACCGACTTGAGCCACCCAAGCGCCCCAAAACGTCACTCTCGGTCATGATCTTAGGCCCGCAGAAAGCCAACCAGCAACATTTATTTCTCCTTTCTAGGGCTAGAGTCACGCAACTCACGCTTAGTTCTCATTGCGACTCTTGGGTGGACCCTCGGGCAGAACCGAGAACTAAAAGGCCAAATGACCAAGTGAATGAAATGACCAAACGATCGTGCCGTCTTGAAGCCGTGACGTGAGTTAGGTTTCTAGATGCGCTTGGTATTCCCGAGTAAAGCTGGGCGCCGCTTTTGCAAACCTAAAGCCAGGCACAACCGACGAGAAGCAAGCTGTTCCCTTAGCGGGAACGCCCACCTCTACCCCAGAGAAACCGTCTGGATTTGAGTCTTTGTTTTAGACAGAAAAATGGAAGAAAACTTCGCTCAGGCCCAAACAGAGAAAGAGTTAGCCAAAAGAGGCTAGGGGGAAGCATTCCGCCAGGCGTCAAGGCATCTGCGCGCGGCCCCAGCCACCAGGGAAGATAGACCCTCAGGTGGCAGCGGCCTCACCCCTTCCCCTGCAGCCTGGATGCAAGCGTCAGCGTCCAATCCAGCCTCCCCGGGGGGGGGGGGGGGGGTTCGTGCTGCCGAACCGTCCCCAAGGCCCTGAGAAGCCGCAGCCCAAGCGACACGTGCCTCCTCGAGTTCTCAGCGCTCCTCGGGGCGCAGGTGGCGCGTCTCTCCCGCCCTCGGGCGCCGGTGGCCGCCTCCACCCGCAGGGCTGGAAGGCTGCGCGGGGGTCGCCAGGGGTCAGACCGGCCGGCCGCTCGCCCTCGCTGGGTCTCCGCGGTGGCCCAGGGGGTCCCCAGCTTCCTCCGCCACGCCACCTCCCCCCGCGTGGGAGCGCAGCTGGGGGGCCAGCCAGGTGCCAGCTCGGCGGGAAGCCCAGGGGACACCTCCGCGCCACCCTGGAAGTCGCCCTTTCGAGACTGCAGGCGCTCTCTTTTCCTTCTTTTAATTTTTAAAAAAATTTTAACGTCTATTTTTGAGAAGCAGCGACAGCGCGAGCAGGGTGGGGGGAGAGCAGAGAGGGCGACACGGAATCCGGAGCAGGCTCCGGGCTCTGAGTTGTCAGCACAGAACCGCACGCGGGGCTTGAACTTGCAAACGGGAGATCAGGACCTGAGCCGAAGGCGGAAGCTTAACCGACTGAGCCACCCAGGGGCCCTGACTTTCTTTTCCTTCTTTGGGACCATTTGGCTTCAGCCGTTGCTTGTGCTTATTAGTGGAACGTACCGCGCTTTTTCAGGGGGGCGTAGCGCTTTGGCGGGGGCGGTACCGGGAACGGGGACCGCCGGCGCTGCCGGGACCCCAGCCAGCCGGGAGCTCGAGAGTCGCCTCCCAGGGCTCAGCCGAGCAGCCCGGGGGACGGGGATGGGGGGCGGCTGCGGCGGCAGCCAGGCCGGAGGGACGATATTTTGAACCAGAGGACGGGAGCGTTGGCGTGCTCAGCGCCAGTCCGAGCGTCCCCGCCCCGCGGCCCAGCCCGCGTCCCGCTAGCGTCGCGGCCGAGCTGGCGCGAGTCCCCGGCAGGCGGCGCTGTTGCCCCGGCTGAGCGGGCGGAACGCGGGCGAGCGCCGGGCCGAAGGGGGCGGGGAGCGGGAGGGCCGAGCTGCGGCAGGAGCGACCCTCCGCGCCAGCATCGGTGTTTCCCCCGGACCTCCCGGCAGGGGGCATCGCGTCCGGGGTCTGTGGCAGCGGGTGCGGCCTCGAGCCTCGGGTGCGAACGAACCTGCCCCTTCCCGCCTTCCCCCCGCTGCGCTCCCGCGCCCCCGCCCCCGGCCACCAAAGCTGCGGCCTGCGACCTGGGGAGAGGCCACCTCCCTAGAGCCGGCTTGGGGCCCCTGGGTGCCCGCCGCCCTCGCGGCTCCTCCCGGCAGGGAACAGTCTCCTTGGTTTGCCCCTCACCAGACTCCGGAGAATTTTCCAGCTTAAATGATTAGTGGCGGTTTGAGGGCTGATCCCCACCCTGGGCCCACTTTGGGAAGTGTGGGGGAGGGGTGGAGGCGGGATCATTCTTAATCTCGTCTCACAGCTAAATAATTTACTAGAGGTTTTCTCTCCCTGCCAATTCCCTTCCCTGCACTTGACTTCCTGCTTTGTGAAGCCCCGGGGAGAGAAAGGCCAAGTCTTAATAAAAGTTAATATTAATAGCGGTGGAGGCGCCCTGCCCGTGGTTTTCCGACACCTGATCATCCCCTCCCCTCCCAAGCCGAGCCCCCTTCCTCTGGTGTTTCTTTGAAAATGGGAGATGGGACTTGCGCTTTGGAGTACGTTTGGTAAGTCAGGACACTGGAAGAAGGACGCTTGGGCCACGTTCTTTGCAAACCACATCCTCCTGCGGCTCAAGTGGCAAAGGTCGAGTCGAGCGTGCACACAGTAGCCGCCCCACAGAAGCAGCGCCCGCCCCGCCGCGGCTCTGGCTCTGGCTCACAGAGTTTAGAGATAAGCGGGGCAGGAGAGTCAGCAGGTTTGACAGGAGAGATACCCGCAGGAAGGGAACGGGCAGAGCAAACTCAGTGGAGGTGGGAGTGGGAGGGTGGGGAGAGCAAAATT